CTGTACATGTGTCCGAATCTGATAGTGATGATCAGGATAGGCTAGAAGGACCGGTTGCGGCCTGTTGCCTGTGCGATCGCTTTTTGGTGTAGTGTTTGTAAGCTCGTACGTCTGTGTGTTTTTAGACAGAAGCCCGCCATTGTTGACAACGACGATATCGGTGCTGCAACGATATCCGCGCAGTTCGACGAACTACGATAGTAACTTGTTTCGTGTAACACGAACGATTTCACTAGGGTAAAAAACGCATTTTCTAAGTCCCTAAAATTACAGAATCCCCACATGTCTCCATGGAAAGTTCAGGATGAAATTATCTGTGGAAGCTAACATCTGTCCAGAGTATGTACTTCCAAAAGATAGTTGATTACCGCAACCTAATTTGCACAGCCTGTGTTAATTAAAAGGGTTTTTTTCAGTAGACGGAACGCTTCTATTTCGCGTGGAGACTTCGACTTAGCTAACCTATCGTAAATCGACAAAACAATTCTTCATCGAAATTGCCATCTCAGAGGTGTTATGGAAGACGAAAGAAATAGAGGTTATTGTGTAGAAATCATAATATTCACAGACGAAACCGAAACACTTTGTGTCTTAAACGGAAATGTGACGATCGGCGGAAAACACGTAAGGCGTATCCATATCGCCACCGTATGTATGGAAAAGTTTTACAGGTAGAGGACTTTCCAACATTTTTTAGTTGGCTTTTTGAAAGAATTGTTTCGTTTTGTGTTAAACCTTGATGCGTAATGTCGACACACGAAATTTAAATTCAGTTATACGCTACGCCATCATTATGGTTTCTTACAGTTATCCATTGAACTTCTACGTCGTTCAGCTCTCCTGGACGGCATAGCAACCACTGGGTAGATGTCACCGATCGCCAAAATTTCAGTATCGTAGTTTTTCCGTGAAAAAGAGACCTTCGTAAAACAAATTGATGGTGCCATTCGCAGACAGAGGGAACTCGACAAACGCGGCACACAGCTCAGAAATTCTGCCGCGCCTGACAGACAAACGTATAGGTATATCAATAATGGCCAACGATGTTTTGTCCTTTCGTTGGCACCCGCGTTGACCCTCTGAGCTTTTGTCGCTGATCAGCCGACGTCATTTCTGATGAATCATCGTTTGGTTACTCATATCGCACATGAGCAGACTGCTGCTTCTTCTGCTTCATCACTTTACCACCAATGTCCAATCGGTATGAGCTACTATAGGCTGCATACGGTATATGTACACGTGTGTCGTTCGCTAGCGACAGTGATACCCGTGATGATCGGATCGTTGTTGCCCATAGCTGTACAATGGTACGAACGGCATCGTGTTAGCTCTACGTATGATTAGCGTATAGGGGCAGTGATGAAGAGAGAAAAATAAAATGAGCTACTCTTGACTCGATCTATTGTACTCGAATGTGATAAAATGTACGCCGAAACAATTCCAATGATAATAGGGCACAATGTTGCCCCTGATGCTGTTCGATCGTGCCCCTTTGCGGAAGCCAATTTGCCGACTTCAGCGACGTTCAGATCTGCGCACCTAGGAAATCATTGGCAGTTTTCCGCCGCACTTCACTTCAGGTCTTCTTTCTCCGACTGATCTACACAGCGGCTATCTGTGTTTGTGCCAAATCTCAATTTGGGCATAATAAGTAGCCTAGTATTATATATGAACATTTTTTAAGTGAAAACGCGCCAACCTTTTCAGTAATTCGGCTTTGTCGGAGGCGTTTGTAGCGTCCAATATACGTATATAGACGTGGAGTTACGAAGCCTTGCAATCGGTTCATACGAGTTCTGATGAAGGACCTATGCTTGCAGCTTCGATAAATCGTAAAAATAGCTAGAAAATACGTAAACGTTTGTCTTGTATTGTCGCTACTAATACTAGCTGATTTTGTTCAAAAGCCGTGTGCTTTAACCCTAGATTTTATGTACACATCAACTCACAACGCGCTACCGGCCGACGAAAACTTTAAGCACAGTCGTACCGAGGAGTGCAACGGTAAACGCGGCACCAGCAAAACAACTTTTGCTCGACTACAGTATTTCCAAGCAGTAACTTCAAAGGCAATTTAACTAGATAAACAGCCGATCCACAAGCGCATCGGAGCCGTCAATGCATACGGACATTGGCCAAACAAACGAGGGAGTCACAAGACGAAAAAGGCAGACAGATACTTCACACTGTGAGATATAGCAAGATCACCAGAATATCATAGAGTGGCTTACTCAAATCACATAGCGTCCAGCGATGTAGCTTCTAGAGGACATATACAAAACGTGCTTTTAATAGATAATCTGGCTATATATAAAGCTCTGTAGATATAATGTTGCTACATTATAGCACATAGACATAGGTCCAGACAGGGTCCAGTACGTGTGAGCCGTCTTTGTTGCCGTCTCTCAAGCAAGGCTTAGGAGACCCTCGACGTGAGGATAGCAGCAATCTGTTGTCAGTGGTGCCCATTCCAGACATCGAAACTTTTTCGGGCCCTTTTTCTTCACGTTTCCAGTTCTATCTATTACTGGTTGTTGTTGTTGCCGTCGTCGTTTCAAGGACAAGATGACGTCGAGAGTCGAAAACAACACGATTAGAACATTATGCTGCCGAAGCTAAAAGGGAACTGACGCGAAAAGCTGAATATTAGCTATGAGAGAATGAGGACGACGACGACGACGACGACCGAATCAGCTCGGGCATCGACATACGCACCGTCAACAGCAATGGCAATATCAACAACAGCCAGTACAGGCAATATTTTAGCACCGGTCTGCCACGAACGGCCGATGTCGCTGCTGCTACTGGCGACACTGCCGCTCGCCATCACATGATGGCCACGATGATAATTCGCTTCGCGGTTCTTTGCGGATTCGTCGCCCTGCTCCGCGTAATCGACCCGTCTTCGTCTCTCGGTGCTACCGCGATTCGTGGTCGTGGTCGTCGTCGTCGTCGTCGTCGCCGTCGCCGTCGCCGTCGCCGTCGCCGTCGCCGTCGATGTTAATCAGACGGCGTCAATAGTCCTGAACGAATTGGACTGCGGTCGGTAGAGATACCGTTTCCCTTTTCGTCAACTTCTTTTTTTCTTCTGGCACCGTTGTCTTCATCTTCTTTATTTTCCTTGTCTGTTGACCTAATATAAGTATTTACTACTACATATTATCTTATGGATTGCTTCCTAAATCATCAATAGAGCTACAGCGTTTTTCAGTCTTTGTCGTCGTCAGGCGGCGATGATGATTGTGGTTTATTGTGGCACCCTGAAATGCTGCAAAGAAGAAGCAAGGGCTGTTAGAAGACTCTTAATGACACCGACCTTTACATTGATCTCTAGCAAAGGAACCCTTGTACCAGAGCAGAGGTCAGCTGGCTCCTCTCGTAAGATATTGTTAATGCGGTTTTTATTCCATTGAGCGGGTGTATGCGCCGAAAAAATTCTTCATTTCCTTACTTGTTTTCATGCCACTGTTGTTACCTATGGATTACAAACAAAGTACGAAATATGATTAAACCTGTATGTAAAACACAGTACGTAGGCTTACGTACGAAGGACGACGATTTGTTACTTGGTTCCGTTGGCTGTGACTTTAGGCGACTGCAAGCTGTCAATTTTGTGTAAATCAGATCAGTCAGTAAACGGAAACAAGTTCAGCCGCTGAAGCAGAGCGGGACAGTAGACGCCGCGTTGCCCAATTCGCTCATGCAAAACAATTGATCCTTGTGGATCAGCTTCTGGTTGAGTGATCGGCCTCGACGTGTGGTCGACCGTACGCTGGCCGCATCGGACAGGGAAACATAGAAATGGCATAAAAGACGAGCGGCAAATAATTGAATAAAACATTATCGTTGTTGTCAGCTAAGCTAGCCAGTATTCTGATTGAAAGATCTCATTGAGAAAACTGTGCTAAGCAGAAAATACGCTGTTTGCTGCCCGAGCCTCGACGAGAGGCTACTCGCTGCTATGACTTACAATCGTCCCTTCAAGCCCGATTGACCCCACTCGAGGGCATGCTGAATAACCGCAAGTTGCTACCCCATTTATCAACCACAATATTTCTGCTTTGCCACGCAAAGTGTAGGGCCTCACTTTAAGCTCATCAATGAAAAGCACTAATCCTTAATTCAGGCATTTTCCGTTGCTTTGGCCAAGTTCGATGGCCGCATGTCCTACTGAAGATCCTACTGAAATGAAATTTGCGACTAATACGAAACGTTTACTATATATAATAATAGCATAAGATATATGCTATAAGAACCGTATTGGCATTTTATTTTTATTGTTGCTACACGTATTATCTGTACTTGAATCTACAGGTCATCCCTAGTCGGCTAATGTTGGATAACATACGGATCTGCTTCAGCCATGATAGTATAATTGTGTGCTATTTTTCGACTTTTCAAACATTGTGTAATTAATTGACCAGAAAGAACAGGTTTACTACACTCGACACTATGTCAGTGTTGCCGTTTGTATGTCGACGTGATGAAGATGAATCGGGTCTTCAACAAAACGACCTGAGATAACAGAAAACAGGACGGAGGGAAGCGCGCAAAAGATTTGCCCAGATCCCGGCCAATAGTAGTTGCGTCTGCTGCCCGGGCAGCGGCCACGATTGCCTAATCTCACAAAGGTCTTTTAGTAGAACTGATGCTCAAGTGTTTGTTTTGTCATGCAAAAAAAGAGCAGCGTCCACTTCTTCAACAACGGGCGGCGTACCGAAACACTTCAGCACTCGCTGTTTGTTCAATGCATTTCTGATGGTGATGGATAATTGGCTTAAAATAATTGGTGATGATGATCTATGACGTTATCTACGCTAGTTGCCGTTCGTGTGCCTTTTTTTTATTACAATACATTTAGTAGCTGTGTATATGTCATTAGAGACGAAATTATCTATCAATGCTACGTTGGATTGCGTTATACCTAGGAATCGAGTGTTTTCCAATTTGCTGATATTTAGTTTGTTCATATTTTTCTTTGTCTTTGCATTTCCATTCAGAAAACCCATTGGATCTCTCGCAATCGCTTGTGGCTGGTTCTTCGACCCGTTCTCCATCATCATCGCCACGCCCGGAGGTGATGACCCCTCCATCAGAAGGCCGTCGATCCGTTAGCTCCGATCGCAGCGATCAAACGGAAGATCTTCCAGCAATGGAACTCAGTAGTTCGCATAATTTACAACTCAACCATCGGATCAATGCGGCGTCACCTACATTTTCCTCATTATCTCCTGTGGCGCGATCTCCGCTAGGTTTGACAACACTGGCAAGCCCATTAGGAGCTCTCCGTGGGTTGGAGGCCACTAGCCCCTTGCCGGGAATGGCCTCTCTGGCGCCCGGATCACGGACTCCGCTCGGATCGGTAAAGAAACCTCGAGAAAGAACACTGCTTCCATGCGAAGTTTGCGGGAAGGCTTTTGACAGACCTTCACTTCTAAGAAGGTACGTTCATTTTAGTTCACCGATCGTAATAGCTACAATGCGAGCGACTTTAGACAACAAATATATCTAGTTAGTCAGCAACAACTTATTACGTTCATGTTCATCGGCAGGCACATGCGCACACACACCGGAGAGAAGCCTCACGTCTGCGACGTTTGTGGAAAAGGGTTCTCCACGTCGAGCTCGCTTAACACACATCGGCGCATCCACAGTGGAGAAAAACCGCACCAGTGCAACGTTTGCGGGAAACGCTTCACCGCTTCCTCTAACCTTTATTATCATCGGATGACACACAGCAAGGTACACGCTGCTCCCTATCTCTTCTTTTCTGTTCTTTAGATGGCCTTTTAAATTGGCTTCATACAAACACGTAGACGACTGCATACATAGTGTGCAACACATTGTAAACGATATGGTCAGGTAGGCATAAATTGCTGACTGTTGAATTAACAATTTCCTCTCCGTTCTCCCGACTTTCAGTTCCCCCAACACTCATAGCGGAGAAATACTGGTATCGAAAGGACCAGCTAAATAAAGCTTCTTCTAAATCAAATGACTCCCACAATCAAAGAAAGGCCCACAGGCAGAAAATGCACTTATTGTTTGTGGTTATTTTTGCTATTACTAGATGGATATTAGCCCGTTTGAGTAGAAAGAGAAAAATGTTATATATGGCAAACAAAACAAATACCATATAACCAGTTTGTCCGCTTATAGAGGCCTAATGTTCTAGCTAGTTCCGAGTGTAGCGTACTCTAACAAAGCATTTCGTCCTGTTTCAAGCAAAACGGCCAAAGCTCTAATCGACTTCTCTACCTCTATTGACTGAATTGCTCCTATAAAAATAGTTGTTACCATATTTAGTAATGATAGTAATTTAGAGACAGCAGCCATTAGTTGTCTGTAGTGAGCCTACCAGCAACTATCTACTCAATGTAATATACGCACACCCAAATTCATAGAAAAATTCACAAGTAAAGGGTAAATGCGAGCTTGAACAAATATCGAAGCAACAAGTAACCCTAATCATATATGAAAAGTGTGCATAGAAATTTAGGAGAAATAATTCGGAGGTTGCCATCGTCCTCTGTCTTGACGCCACCGAGAGGAAGAGAACAGCGGCGGTCACAATGAAGAACCTAGCAGAAGCAACAACCAATAAAAGCACAAAACACTTCCTGCCTCTGGTAGTAAATAATAGTACCCATAGTAGTAGTATGAGCGTGCATAAGTATCACTCAGTGCGAGTGAGTGCCGATTCATCCTCATCTTCATTTAACATGGCATCGCAGTATAAAACGCGCGGAGTAGTTCTTCTTCTTTGCCAGCAGCCATCCATGTCTTGTTTGGTTTCTATGACCATCGGGCTTTGGCAGATGCGGCTATGATGAGTAAAACTAATGTGAGTCAGCTACCGTAAAGGCGAGTGAGCATATCTCTTCGCCAGTTAATCCTATTCGGCTTTAGTCAGATCTTAGCTACAACAATCGTAAGTCAGTTGGGCCAATCTAGTCCCGTGTTACTGTTTTTCCTAACCTTGTGGGATAGGCAGAAAAAAGGCTGTGTCTTATGTTGATCTACTTGCGGGATTCGCACTGGTTGATACCTGACTGTCTTATGGTATACCTATCTTAGCCGCCATGTTCAAGCTGGTGGCTGTTTAGGTCGGGCTAGATTACCAGCCACTGCACCTCCTAATAGCTCTAATGAGAACCTGGCAGGCAGACACGTCTCCCCGCTCACCTGTTAAATCTAAGTTGAAGACGTTAGATTACTTCTCCCCTCCTAAGACGGTAGCAAGAACAGGAGCCGCAAGCGATCTGTGTGGCTTTGCCAAACTATACTTCGCTACCATACATACTAACGTACATAAGACTGTCTACTGACTATAGCCTGCACTGTCTTGCCCGTGACGACAAGAACCGTAAACAGTATTTCAAATGAAACTTTTGTCTTCGTTCGAATTTGTACATCTAGCCAGCTTTTTTGCTACGATACTTTGCCGGCTTGGCTAACTATGCTACTGATATTGAAGATCTGTTACTCGTCGCTTTTATTTCGCGGGGTAGTTTCGTGGCTAATGTGGGAGGAACCAAATCGTTGCGCGCTTCTGTTGGCTTTTGTGTCGCCATGGCCCTGTGAGGTAGGTTTACAAACCAGTCGTCATCGGTTCGCATCAGATCATTCCAATGCGACACAAGCTTACAACGACAACGACAACGACGTCAGCGATCGTATGACGATTCGGGACGACACGCCGGTCCTGTTACAAATGTAGACAGAAGTAACAAACAAGGATGTACTTGTTGTCTATTGGTAGTTGGCCCGAAACAGCCAAAGACCTCATCGAAGCGCTTAGTATGATGTATTTTCTAGTGACAACATATAGGCGACATCGAATATCGTCTCCTTGACATACAAGGCGTCATTAGGCGCGACTCGCGGAGGCGGAGGCGGAAACGCCTTCTCCACAAAGCCGCTTTCACTGCCGGCAGTTTTCAAACGTCGTGAAGCCTTAAGATGAGGCTAGAGCTCTTCTGTCGACGGTTGTCCTCTTTTTCATAGCTATCTATCTGCACGTAAGTATCACACTGTCTGGAACTGTGCTCGATGGTGTTCATCGATGTGATCATTTACTGCAGCCACTTTAGCTCCATCTTCCTCTTTCACTATCAGATGTTATCTCCGCGCTAAAAATGGACGTATACAAAATGCGCTGGGAGACATCTGTTCTTAGCTTATTTCACAAATAGTTTCTGTGCGAAGACAATGTAACAAAGTGGACGATTAACACATGTTCGGTGTAACTGCGGACAGCGGTGCCTGCTGTTCCAGTGAAGACCAAGTTACAGTACATGCCAAGCGTGTAAGGCCGTGCCAAAATCAAAAAGCTGTGGGGCGGAAAAATCCATCTCAGATCAATTAGACGGCTTTTAAGGAACTCGAGGGGTAATAATTATAGAGGTACTGTTCGAAAGTTTGTCGGTCGCTTGTGTGCGTCCGATGTGGGTTATTTAATCCAACAAATGGGCAGTGAAGGCTCAAGGAGGTGCGAAGAGCTTGCCGCCGGGCTTAAGCGCATCAAAGGAAACCAACGCTTATAAGATTTCGACAGGACCCTGGTTGCTAAGCTGGTATAATTCAGCCCCTATATTATAGGACTGAAATAGATAGTGTGGTTTAGAGTTTGTCTAGAAGAGTTACGACAACGAAACAGGGCTAATGGTCGATCTAAAAAAGGCCTGTTAATGGCTATGGAGAACCAAAAGTTCTTTGTTTGCGGCGCCTTCCAGCACTGACTAGAAGACGCTCAGTGGATAACGTCGTGATATACTGTTAGTTTTTTCATTGGTTTTGTTGAGTTTTGCGTCGATACATCAGCATAATTTTGAGCCAATCTACATTTAAACTTTTACCTGATAATTAAACATGAGAGAGCGGGAACACAAGGATTAGCTTGATGGACGGTTACGAGTGGCTATGCTGACTATCCGCTCATAGGAGCTAGTCACATATTTACTCAAATGACTACAGAAGATCTCCTAGTCATAGATAGAATTAGTGGCAAATCCAGTACTCAAGCACTGCTACTACTGGCTAGATAAGAATGAGCACTTACTTGCCTATAAAAAGCAGCATAGCCGATGTCTAGCCGATGCGGCATAAAGACAAACAGCAAAAAGAAAGGTGGCCACCATAAAAAGTAAGTCGGATTTGATAAAACGGCAGAATAATAAAACTTTTTTTACCGAAGTCGAAATGAACGTATCGGCGTTTGTGGGTTTGAGGGCCGCCGCCGCCGCCGCCGATTGTCGCTGCCGGCCAATTGCCCGTCGCGAAAGGCACTTCTGAAAAAGGCGTTTGAAGTTTTACAAAAGGAAGGTGCACTCGATAAGAACGTGCGTGCCTTTCGGCGGCAATTACAGGACCAGCCTCTACCGCAGAGGCGCCACAGGGTCTCGGTGCTGTATACCTTCCCTCCAGTGTACGCTACGGCCTAACCTCTATTCATCGCCTCTGTGCTTTATAGGTCATTGAACCCCTCCTTTTGCGGAAAGACAAACAACAATTTATAGGCTCAACCCTCAATAAGTTAGCTTTGCGGAACCACAAACGCTCCCCAGGCTTCGCAATACGGATTGCACGTGCCTGAAGTTATTATGAAGAACAAAGGTCCTCATCATGTGATAGCTTACATTTCTAAAAGCACTGATCAGAATCTGCATTGGGAGAGGTGACATGATAGAAAATAATGTTTTTTCTTCGTTGCAGGAAAAGCCGCATAAATGCACCCTTTGCTCGAAGTCTTTCCCAACGCCGGGTGACTTGAAGAGTCACATGTACGTCCACTCCGGATCTTGGCCCTATAAGTGTCATATTTGCAATCGAGGATTTAGCAAACAAACAAATCTTAAGAACCACATATTCCTGCATACAGGTATGATGTCGATTTTATTGATTAGAGGTAATATTTTGTTGTTTTTCAAGTGGTCCGAACTCAGGTGGTAAAATCAAGCAGTTCAAAAGCTAACAATTATTCCCTGTTCAAGTTATTAAAGTCACAGAAACATGCAAGTAGTTTTGCTTTACTGGCCATATATCTATCTATAAGCCAATGATGGGGCCAACGAAAAAACATGTTTGAGTGCAGCAAATGATAAAGCTAACACGATCAATGAACTCAGTAGAAAATGCACGTCTGCTAAATGCTGTGACGAAGGATCATTTAAACATTGCAACACTTGTATTGATATAGTAGCTATCGGAATCGTTCATTCCGAGGCGGCTGATCGCGTACGTTGCTGTTGCTGCTGTTGTTGTTGAAAACCTGGTATCAGCTGTGCGTGTTTTTTCCTCTCTATCCTATGCTTCTGTTTTGCGGCGCTCGCTGTTTCCGTCGCCACGGAACGCCGTTCTGTCGTCTGCTCTCCGTTCTCTCGTACGAAAAACGGAAGAAACCAAGAGAAGGATGAGCGTCACGTCAAAGCTACCTTCTGCTCGCTTCTAGCGCTGACTTCTGTTAAAATCGATTATTTCTGCTGACGACATTTCGCTGCTGCTGCTGCTGCTCGTCTAGACGTTTCATGGATGTGAAGCAGAAGCAGAAGTGGTAGTCGAAAATAAGAGTTTATATTTTTAAGAAATACAATTTTCGCTAGCTAGCTCGCTCGCCGACCCGTCCACTTGTTCCAGCGGAATTAATCCATACAAACATACGCAGTGAGAGTGTGACGCCACCTAGCGGCATGCGCACCGGCTAGGCGTTAGTGTAACGTAATGAAGAAAACGACAAAATGAAAGGGAACGAAACGAAAAACCGAGTGAACAGCCACAAAAAAAGTGTGCAGTTTTGGCCCTACCCGCGCGCAGTGAGAGAGAATCGTACGCGGATGATGTAGATATGAGAACAACTTTACATTTGTTCTTCACCCTTAATAGCAAATAAACAAAGTCTAAAAAGGCCTTAGCAAGCAGGAATAAAGGAACTAAATAGGAAACGTGAAATAAAAAAAACGATGTTAAGCCTTTTACTTTCTTCTTTTAGCCTGTTGTCTATAGAACTCCTTTACACATCTGCTCTAATAATAAGGCTTGTCGCAACGTTGCTTTTATCATAGGCAACTATTTAGGTGACGGCTGCTAGCTCTGTCAATACTGTTGATTTGTGTAATTCTATTTCCATCGGTAGATATATAAATACAAATTATCGTTTTTTTTTTTTTCTTTTTTTATTATCATTACGTGGGGATTGCGCCGAGCGCTCGAAGTAGTCGTCCTTTTTGCAGCGCTGTCACCTTCAACTCGGCTGAAAAATGGTCCTAAATCAATATCTAAGAAACATGGTATTCGCGAAGCGACAGTGGTAGCAACAACCGTGCTTGCTCCTGTCAGGCATTTTCTTTTATTACAGATTAGATTATATAGCAGCTGTACTTGTTCTGCATCGCTGACTAATGTATGTATTGTATTTGTTATTGTGCGCTAGTTGGAGCGTTGTTATTGCGCATGTTTGTCTGCATTCGTCTGACGCAGCGTCGTTAGCGCCGCGTTCGGCCAGAAGGCAGAGCTTTAGCGAACTCTGTTAGTCGCTGCGCACTGCATCGCCAACGGTAGGGAGTGGCTGCTGGTTGATATGTATATCATCTTTCTTTGCGGCCGCCGACCTTTTGCGACCGTAACGCTCCTGGAGCTTCGTGGCTGGCACTGCCTTTTCATTATTGCTTCTGATTCTACTTCTGCTTTTCTGCACTGTCATCGGCTGTCAGTAAAGCCAGCGTAGTTACCACAGCAACTATAGCTGATGTTGGTTCGTGTACAGCAGAGTGACTTAGCCTCACCTAGTCAGTGCCCTCAGTTCAGAAAATCGCACGCATTAACGTTCTGCTGTCTGGCGGCAGCGGCGGCGGCGGCGGCGGCGGCGGCGGCGGCGGCGGCGGCGGCGGCGGCGGTAGATTAATGGAATGAGGCGCCGTTTGTGAAATATTGTTTATACTTATCTTGAAACCAATTGTAAAGCAAGCTACGCAATTGAAAAACGAACTCTTTTTATTGACGTTTCTACGCCGAACGAGAAATTGCGGTCGTAACTTAACGAAGGCTATCTCCATTGTTTGTCGTCGCCATGGTCATTATTTGCTTTGGACAGCAGTCGCACGAGTCGAGATAGTTTAATTTTGGACCTGACGCGATGGCTACTGAGTACGCCGGAGATCTGGTAATGTTGGAACTAGGGACGACAGCCGGCATTACGTCGGTTTTGCAAGCTAGACCGGCTGATTTCAACCGAAATTAAAACATAAACAGTATTACTGCACTGTGTAACATCGTCAAAACAATAATCATGTTAATGCAGTAGGAGAAAACATATTCCAAGACAACGTCACAGCCGCTAGAAAAAACTTGATCGTTCATTTGAATATAATATGTAACTTGCGTTGTCATATCTGGCCGCGTGCTACTATGTCGTGATCTATCCTTTGACGGTGCTGACGTTGCCGCGATGCACATATTTATTTATAATGTCATTATTGTTATAATGCTAGTAATATCTTCTTGAGGAACGTTCGCTGACGAATTGCGTCTTTGTCGCGCACGGTTCGCTGAAGACCACAAAAAATTCGAAATTATGCAAAAGAAGGCACGATAACAATCTCGCTCTCTTGTCCAGCCCAGCCCAGCCCAGCCCAGCCCAGCCCTTGTTGCTGTTATTCCAATGCACATGACTCTTGTTACTTGTATGCCTGCCTGCTAACCTATGTGTGTTTGCCTATATGAGTTTACTCGATCTATATGTATGTGTTTGGATTCTCTGTGCACCTAAATCAAGTTATTGCCATGATCGTATCTAAGCAAAAAAATATATTCCAGCAATTTTTTCCACGTTGCAAGTGTAGTTTTGAAAACCGTTGCAGTATTAAGCACCGTGATCACATGTTCAATTCAGAGTACTAGCAACAGAACGGGAAAAAGGCGCTAAAAATTTGCAAAAGAAATGATCGACAAAGCTATTTTGTTGGTCTATTACATTGTACCTACAATATGCGTCCCCTACATGACTGTACCACGTATTGCGTAGGCTCGTGCGAAGAGGAACGATGTAAGTAAGATAAGTTAAAAACTGTAGGAACTTCAATTGTTAGTCGGTTTCGGATTAGCTGTTATTTTATCGACTGAGGCTGCCTCGAATGCCCCATTTAAAGAATCCGGGTAAATCACTTCGATAGCATATATATGGATAGATCCGAAAATACGCGCTGCAAAGCGGACAGAGCTATCCGAACCCGACGGGGCTAACAATAATGAACTTTCGCCCCCAAATACTTGCCTTTAACAGGCGTTAGAACTGTGTACTCCGTCCGTACGGGCAGCAGTAGCTCGAATTTGTTTTTACAATTTTGTTTCGGTCTATACATTTGCGTTACTATGACTACGGTATGAACACGGTCAGGCCATTCCTATAGTATTGACCAAAGCAGCTAACTAAAAATAAACACTTCGCGTGTTATAAAGGGGCACCGAAAACGAGGTTATTTTTGCGAATATATAATTATAGACAACCCGATTAAATTGTTTTTTGCTAAGTGCTGCAAAAGTCTAACGCAGAACCCCGTTCAGCCCGTCGCGGCGCGGCTTGTAGAAACAGAACCATAATAACAATCATGTGGGTTATTATTAGTCAAGTTCTAATATATAGAATGTAATGCGTGCAGGGGAAACAGAGGGCTACATTATGTCGGGCGTTTTCATATGATTTGTGAAAATGTGTCCGTTTTCGGTGAAAATAATAGCTGAAGCATAGTAAAAAATAAAAGTTCTGCTCTAAAAAAAAACGTATTTAACGAGAAACGGTAGTCTTGTATTGTTGTCTTCTCACTTATAGTAGGCCTCATATGTTTTCGTTGACGATGGCCATTATAATTTATTGATCACCGGGTGCTCTGTCGCGCGCAGTTCATTGAGGTAAAGCTTCGATTGACCTCGAGCAGACGCTGTCCAACTTCAACACATGCATAGGTATTATAATTTCGTAGAAATAGTGTAAAAGTTTCCACAATTACAGTAAAGGCGTAATTGCCTGCGATGCCGGTTTGGCGCTACACAATGGCCAGCTACGGACCACAGTTCTGTGACTTCTTCGAGATTGAACACGTCTGGGAGAACTTCTGCTGTACATCTGGGTGGTCCCATAGAAGTCACCGAAAAATGAGCAGTAAGACGTACCTCAGCCGCACGCTTCCTCGAGTTAATGCTCTAAACTTTTAAAAAAAAAAGAAGGTTCACAACCAGTGGTCCTGGAAAAAATAATGTCCAACATCGCTCCTTCTATTTGAGTGATGTCTATTGGAAGCAACGCTCATCAGAAAGGCGTACGGAATCTATGTCGGACTGACTGAATTTATGCCGATTAGAAATAGGCGTTGTATGAAATGCCACCTTTTTCGCGTCGAATAATTGCTTAAAAATTGTTACAGGCAAAAATCTTCTCTCTACTCATCTTACGCGACGTGTCTGGCTATTACTAATGCTGGCGTTAAAGCTTCGTTCCTGCCAGTCTCTATTAGTGTGGCCGTCATGTCATCTCTGTTGCCTGCTAATTCGATAGGCAACGCTGTCCCGCTGGCTCCCTCTGAAGGGTTGCGGTCGATGCGTACCTATGCGACGTTCGGCGACGTATTTACCCGGAGAGGTAAAAGCAGTACTGCCAGCAGCAGCAGCAGATGTCCGAGTTGAAGTAAAGTCAAAGATGAAAACTATCTTGTTCCGCCCGTCCGCAGCGGCTCGTGATCGTCTTGCTATTTAATCTGGATCACTCGTGAGCGAGCTTTCAGCTAGCTCGGGACAACTATCAAAATAACAACGTCAACAATATCGAGAAGAACGTCAAGTCAGGTAGCTACATCAACGAGATAATGTTTACAAGTGCATAAAACAATTATC